TGTAAATTTCTGGATTGGTTGTTAGGTATAAATCTAGGAGACTAGCATACTCTCCATCATGGTCAGGAATCCTGGTTGGATCATTTATGATCTGAGTAAGTCCGCTGCTTATTGCAAAAGCCTCAGCTTCGCGACCTTGTTGGTCGTTAATATTTGAAAATTTGAGCTATTCGATATTGTGGACATTTAAGTCACCTAATATGAAAATTTCAGCACTGGGATGATTGATTTACAGAAAGTCAATGGTGTGTAAAGCTTGGTGGTCGATAAACGCAGCATATGAATTTAGTGATCTTCTGTGATATTATTTTTAACCACATAACATCAAAGTTTTGAGGTTCCAGCATTTCCCCTCGTTGACAGAAGAGATCGCTTCTGATAAAAAGAGATATTCCAAAGTTACGTCTGAATCGGGAGTGGAAATCATAGCCGGGATATAAAAAATTGACGGGGTTTGTTGAAGCACTGACTTTGGTTTCTGAGAGTGCAAGAATATGAGGACCATCCTTTTGCAGATGTTGGTGCTCTGAGTTTATATTTGAGTTGAGTCCTCTTATGTTGCAGAAATCGATTTTGAAGTTGCTAGTGGGACTCTTAGCAACTGCAGTTACCATGCTACTTTCCTGTGGACTGATATTAGGAAAACCCTGCTGACAGTCAGAAATAGTGGTTTTTGAATAACTTCTGCAGGATGATGCTCTCGAATCGGCCCCCACTCGGAAATACGATTGGGGAGTAATTTGATCCTAGGAGCGCCATCATGAAATTTTTCCTTGTATCCCCACCCTTGAAACGGGAAAGAGCGGCATAGCAACAAAACGTTAACCCGAAAGCTGCGTAAGCCGTTGCAATGGTATCTCACCGGGCGATTTGAGGTGGAACCAGCATCTACTATTTCTAGCTTGATCATGTGAAACAGACTTATTACATTCCACTACAATGATTCTATCTCTGGAGTCCTTGCAAAAGGTTCACATGGAAGACCCTGAACTCAAAGCCAATACATCTTTTTCAAGTCTACATGAAGGCTGTGATAGGTAGATGACATCTTTGCAATATGGCCTCATGGATTTGAAAGTCTCTATACATTCCTGAACCACATCAACTTTTTACACAATAATCTCAAATTTCCAATGGAAGTCAAAAATTACAACTCGCTTTCATTCCTGAACGTTCTCATTATAAAATTCAATAATTCTTTCCCACACACTAATCCATACCAACCGCTACTTCAATGCTAAGTCCCATCATCATCCCACCCAAGTGAATCTCGTTTTGAATTCTCTCATATACAGATCTATCACACTCACCGATAACCACAATAGATCCAAAGAGCTAGACGAACTCAAACTGAAGTGAAAAAAATACTTTACTTTTACTCTAATGAGTGGTGTAAACAATTTTGTTGACAACGGGAAGTATGAAAGTACAGATTGACTGTATACATTGTTGAAATATGCTCTCCTTCATTTTTGAAGGCATGTGATTCTTTTCTAGAAAAAAACTGCTTTAAATTCATGGAAGAGAACACCCAATTTGACATGTAATTTTTTTCAGTATATCCAGAAGACGAATATATTGTGGAATTTTCTCTTGAATTTGGATTCCTTCGACTCAGTCCGTCTACAAGAGCTAGGCTGAAAATTCCCGTGGAAATTGTCACACTCGATCCGGATAAAGACCCATGCTTTGGTGATGCATTCAGCAGACTGATATTAGCCGAGTTCTTGGGTTATGATGATTTGCTGTTAGCTTCTATCAAAACTTTAGCTGAGCAGGAGGATAACAAAGGATATTTAAGGTACCTTGAAGAGTATTGAAAATTAATCTGTATATACACTTTGCATTCATTATGAACATTTTGAAACTTGATGATAGTTTTCATATGTTGAAAACTAGACCAATTTTTCTGTAATTCGGTCCCTGCTTCAAAAATAGTTGTTATATGGTCATGAAACTTTAGCTGAAACCCATTAATTACTGATTAAATCAAGGAAAATATGTTTCACGTGTGAATACCTACACTAACCTCTATTTATTTATGAAAGTTTTCATTCTTTTTTCTTTCAGTTATCATACTATTCAAATTGAAAGCTCTTCATAGCGATATCATAAATGGCATGATATACATAGAGAGTTACCAGCTAAAAACCCTTCAACCATTTTCACTTCGCATCAGTGGGGGCGCTTCCTACAGAAACCCATCTCTCTCTTTCGTATTTTTGGTTTCAATCATGAGCATGATGATCATGCAGGTTTGTTTCCATTATTCCTACCCTGACATCAGAGACATCATCATTATGTTCCTTGCATTGATGACCTCATTTCTTTCTGATATTCTTCTCTGTACACTTGCTGCCTGTTGCATCTGAACAATGTTTTTCCTGCATCAATCTCTGTATTTTAATATGGGCATTCATTAGATTTAGCTCTTGCCTTATTGTATAAATATTTTCTGAAGCAGCCATGCCCAGAGAGCTTGCGTTAGAAAATATATTATGTCACCATATGGCCTATTACCTACTGTTTGTTATTGGGTATCAGCCTATTTGTCTAACCTCCATACTTTTCATTAGTACAATTCTCTTGTCACTTTCTCATAAGGTTGGCAGTTGTACCTCTCTTTGTCTTTCGTGTAATAAGAGAAAAGTATTCACTTTTGCTTCAGTTTCTATTTGAGTATCCAGCTCATCTTTCAACTAATTATTTGGTATCGCAGATCCTTTTCAGCGTTGATGGATCTTTTGGTGAATTTTATTTAATTTCTTGGGTCTATTATGTTAATGAAACGTCTATTGGGAATCAAATGCTTTATTCAAACAAAAAATGTCAGTCGAGATAAAAACATAGTTTTTTGTAGAGAAATGGTTATTTGAATGTCCAGTACATTGAGGTGAATAAATATATAATATCTTCCCTTTTACAAATCACTACATAGTATAAAACAAAGTCGCTTTCTGCTGTCTGTCCCTATGTATGCTCAAATCTTTAAAATTCCGCAACGGATTAAATAAATGGAGTGATTCAAGAGGAAGGTTTATATGTATATAACATGCATAATCTAGTAGAGAAACACTGATAATTTCAAAGGTTTCTAATGTGTTGTCATAAATAAACACATTTTTTTGCCCTTACATTGCAAATGCTGGCTGAACCCTACGAGACAGACAAAATAATGTACTACAGAATTGTACAACTCAAAAAGGTCTACAAAAAAATCCGCGATGGTATATTTCTAATTCTTAGGAATAACCACAATAACCATTTTTAATCTTTTACTTTTTACAAGAAATAATGGGACGAAGTGATTTTAAGCTATACGGCATTAATCCTTATCCAATTAAGTAACTTAAATACATTATGCATTTATTGTAGATCAATATGGCGCTTCACAGCATGTAATTACAATGAATTTTTTCGAAAATATAACAGATTTGAAATGCAGGGATATAGCGGCTGCGGCGGTACCGGTCGAGGGGCCGGCTGCACGTGTCTAAAATAGCGCTTCGAAGGCCGCGCTTCGCCCTATAGCACATTATGATTACATATACGTGCTGGTTAGCAGAAAAACAGATATTAAACAAATAAAGTGAAACTGTTTTAAATTATTCACTTATAACTAACTGAATAGAGTAAAATTTCAGCAAAAGGGTTTCTTAATTTTTCTATCAAAATATGTTTTCTTAGTTACATTGGATACAATATCATGAAATGAGTTTTTGAATGTATGTATAGTACCTGAAAAACTTTCCTTGTCAGAATCCTTAATCATTGGAGTTTGGTGAAGTTTCTATGAAGCATTTTTTTTTTGTACGGCATATGACGGATCTCGAGGTTGATCAACTACTTTGTCAACTTGCCAGTTGAATTTCAGTTTCTTCTGGGATATAAAGTTTTGATAAACGTTCCGGTTCATAAAATATGAAATACTAATGATAATTTTGGCTGTTGAGATAAATGCGAGATAAATATTACAGTTTTGAATCATTTCTTCAATTTGTTTACACATTCCCGGCCAATAACACATCTCTAGTACAATTTTTACCTTTCTGAATCCCAAAATGCCCCCAATGAATTTTTATCAAAATATTTTTACCCATTTTGTTAGGAATTATTAGTAATTGTCTCTTGAAAAGTAATCCATTTCTTTTCACTATTTCACTATGAAATTATAATAATTAGCTTTGTTTGGCCGTCCCTTACAAATAAATTATAGCAATAATGCTTATTCAGAATCTTCTAATGATGTATTGCATTTCTTATGGGTCATTTGAAAATTTAATTCTCTTACACAAACATTTCAATATTTTTGAAAGTCATTTGCAGAGAAAGTTTTGTGTAAGTAGGCTGTGGATAGTGTGCCAACATTGCCAATATATAAACCCTTTCTCGGTTTGAAAATCAACTCAAAATCATATTTTTGCAGTTGGATAATCATTCTTTGTAAACGTGAAGGACAAGCGACAAGGACGTGAAGGACAAGACAATCTGCGTCCAATTTCCTTAATACCGACTTTAGCAAAAAATATTGAGAAATTAGTCAAAGTACGTTTAGATGAATTGTTAAAACTGCACTGTATTATAAGCAAAAACCAGTTTGGGTTTCAAGCGGAAAAAGATACAAATGATGCTATCTTTTCTTTTTTATATGAAATTTAATCTGAATTGAATGCTGGTGAAGTAGCCGCCGCAATTTTTTACGATATTTCAAAGGCGTTTGATTGCGTCAATCATAAAATTTAATTAAAAAAACTTCACAAATATGGATGTAGAGGTGTAACGAACACTTGATTCGAATCGTACCTTTCAGGTTGGAGTCAAATGGTGAGGACAACGGAACTCTCAGAGAACAGGGCCATTGAATCTGGTGTACCACAGGGTTCTGTGTTAGGCCCTATTCTGTTTCTGCTATATATGAATGACATATCTATGATTAACATAATCTTCCTTTGATGAATCTACTGAGATCGCAATAGGCCTAGAATTGTAGTACAGGTGCCTCAACTAATAGTTGCTTCATTTCATTGAATAATTCCATATGTCTGGATGTCTTCTCAAAAATCACACATTATTTTTTCAATAACTCTCTCAGTGGTGAATATAAATTAAAAAGATTATTTATGAAATGATGGACATATGTGATCATTCATTTGAACTCTATTCTTATTTTTCGGTGTAGGCATTGATTGTATTGCTAATAAATTCTCTTTTTCTGGAAAGTTATCCTCTTTGGAAATATTATGTCCTAAAAATATTATTACATTGGTAATAAATTTGCACTTTTCTTTTCTGAATATGACTAGATTTTTTCTAGCTATATCCAATACCATTTTAAAACGTTTATCATGTTTTTTTTCGCGTGTGACCCCACACAATTAGGTCGTCGATACACCAAACATTATTTTAAACTGTTTATGAAAAACCTCAAGTGCTGAGCTTATACCATATGGAAGATATAGAAAACAGTATCTTCTAAATGGTGTTGCAAAAGTACATAGTACATAGGAATTTTATGTGAAGAGTACACAACTGGTTTTGCACCTTTTCTTAACTATATGTGTTATTTGTCTTGTAAACACCCAAGACCCGAGAATAAATCAGAATACTCTTTGCCTAGGTTTCCAACATTAGTTTCTCTATAATGGTTTTGTTCAAGTTTGTGAATGTAGTAAGCATTGAAACCATGATTTTACTATAAAAAAATCCAAATTGTAGAAATGATCTTTCAATTTACATTTTAAAACGCATTTTTCCAAAATATGTACGTTAGTATTTGTATGAAACTTCAGGTTTGTAACAGTTTCCATTAAATAGTTCAGATCAAATCCAATGTTATTTGAATTTTCTATAAATATCGGACTGGATTGACCTCCACTATCCAGTTTGAACTAATTAATTTGCTCATTTTATTCTGAAAAGTATACCAAGCATTATTTTTATTGAAAGCACCATAAAGTGATCCAATAAATAAACAATTATCATTTTTCAAACTATCATTAACTTCTACCAAAATTATAATTTTATTTTGACCCAAGCGAGCTTCAATATCTAGAATACTCACTTTTCTCTCTATTCGGCCAAGTTCTGCTTCCTGGTGAAGTTGATTTTTGTCTACAGTTGTTAGTCTGCTTCCACACATATTGTTCTTGATGTAGCTGATGGTTCTCGGCAGATTTTTCAGAATTATTATGAATGAAATTTTACTTTAGATTTTGAACTGGCTGTATTTCAAGTGGGGCTGGAGTTGTAACATGCATAATGATGTTAGATTGCTGCTCGGAACTCTCCACTGTAATACAAAATTTCACTGCTTTTGATAAGTCAATTTTTTTCAAGTGTCGCTTCAACTCAATTGGTTTAGTTAAAGATTATCTGAGTTCTGATTCTTTAAGGTTGGAAAGAGAGTTTGAATTCTCAATCATAAGATGCGTCGAATTAAATATTTTTGTAAAATGTGTATACAGACCCCCTACATCTAATGTGACAAATTTTTTGAAGAGATTAGAGGTTCTTCTAGATCAGCTTTCCTTAGATGCATCCTTACTTCTCACAGGTGATTTTAATATTAACTTTTCTGATACAACATCTACAAATACTAAGTTATTGCTTAACTTATTGACATCGTTTAACCTTCATATGCACGTAGTCACTCCTACATGAATTTCTAATTCCTCTTCCACAATAATTGATTATTCATGTACAAATGTTAATGCCGTTGAATGTATGGTTGTAAATTCTGGTTTATCGGACCATGAAGCCATTTTGTGTAATTTATCCTTCGAGAGAAACGTCAACAAAAAGTCCTTACGAAGAGGAAGACTTTTCAGTAAACACAACTATAATAAGTTTGCCCAACTTTGTGAAGAGTCTGACTGGAATAACGTCCTACATTTTGAAGACCCCACCCCCTGAGCTAATTCCATAAATTACTATCTGTGAATTTCAATCGTGCATTTCCCATTCGAAATTTAAAAAACAAAACCGAAAAACCTTGGATTACAAATGTTATAAAAGTATCTGCAAAAAATATGCGAGCACTGCATCAAATTCGAAAACATGGAAATATCGATAATACTGATTTCATGAACTATTTATTGTTTCTGGGGAAATTGTGCAAAATTTCGTTTCAATATGGTATTCTCTCTACAAAAAAGATCCATCAGATATTTATGCAAGGCTAGCTACAGGGTTTCATGCCACCCATTATTTCTGAAGCAAAAAATTCTGACCTTAGTATGTCTTTTTATTTTGGAAACAGTGTGTCTTATCCACAAAAAATATAAAAATCAATTTAATAACACCTCAACTTATAGTACACGTCAGTTTTACTCCGTTTCCCTTCCCACACCTTTTTTAGCCCTTACACAAAATTCTATTATTTTCAATAGCAAGAAGTTATTTAACCACCTTCCCATTAATTTAAGGCGAATATATAAGAAAAAGAAATTGTTGGGAGGCCCTATTATAGTGTGGACGAATTCTACCAAGGCTCTATCGAGTAATTGACATGTAGCTTTGTGTAAACAAGTTATTGAAACCAATACGAAATGGCTATCAATGTTCATTATGCAGCATTATATATTTACATTTACTTAATATTCATAAATTAATGTACTTATATTTGTATCTGTTCAGCTGCTCTTGTCTTGTAGTTTATATTTGTTAATTGTCCCATATACATGTTTTACTTTACTAGACTTTGCCAATAAGATGTTCAGATCTTGGGTAATGAAGCATATTTTGATTTGATTTGAATACAAGCACTACAAGAAAATCCTTAAGGCGCTCTAAGAGCGGTGCCTATGCGAAAGTAGCGAATCACGTTGGATTTGAATCGCTGGAGATTGAATTCATTTGTAAAAACGTTTCCAGGAAGTTTATTCTACATAAACGCAGTTCTCCAAATGAAAGAGTTCTTAAACAGTGAAGTTCGAGATGTACTGTTTGTCGCATATTTCTGATATGTACTGTTCTTGATGTAATCAAATGTGCCAAGTCATTCGAACACCTCCCATGAAAGTATCTATAAAAGAGAGACAAATCTCCAACCTTTTTTCGATTTTCCAAACTATCAAGGTTGCAAGTGATATTCGTGTCTCCAATCAGGCGGATGGTTCTTTTCTGGATAGAATCAAGCAGCTTTAGGGTATGAAAAGCAGCTTCAGGGTATGAACAGTGTTCCAAGTTTTTGAAGAGCAGCCTTTGCAATTCCAGCAACATGATTGTGACAAGACATATTAGTGTCCATCTTAATCCCCAACAAACTTATTAAAGCAGAAATCGGAATTGTCCTGCCATTATTATATCCGGTTTGAAGACATTTTTCTTTTTGTAGAAAAACGATGCCTGGGTTTTCGTGACATTGAATAAAACCTGGTTACTTTCACTCCAATTTGAAATCACCTCTAGATCCTCATTGAGATATGCAACCTCCTGCTGCCTGTGAAGATGTGCATCCGCAGCCGATGTCCTGGAATCCAAATGGAATGAAGAAACAAGTGTGCTGTCGTCAGTAAAGCAATATATTGGATTCTTGACAATACGTCGACGATATACAATAAAAAGAGGGTTGGAGACAATATGGATCTCTGGAGAACATCAGCGTTGATGGTGAATGTATAAGTATAAGTGATATCAATCGACGGCCACTTGCAGGGAACGTTCTTTTAGGAAGTTGCAGAGCCATACATAAAAATGAGCCGACAAGCCATAGCATCAAAGTTTGACCAGCAAACCATCATACCACATACGGTCAAAGGCCTTAGAAATATTAAGCACAACAGCTCTTGACTCTCCATGTTTCTCGATTGCATTATTCCAAATATGGGTGACATGCGATAGAAGGTCGCCTGTTAATCTTTGTTTCCACAGGCCATATTGATGATCGCTCAAGATGTTGAAGACTTCCAGATATTTGATGATATGGTAATTCACGACTTTCTCCATGATTTTTGATATCACTGGTAGCAAAGCGACTGGTCTATAGTCATTTGTAAGACAGTGTCAAAAAGTCTGCAAAATACTGGTGCGAGTTCATCTTGTAATAATAATAGTAATAATAAATAATAAATGTCATTTGTTGGTGAATAGCAAAGGGCCATCGGCCGAAGTCCTTCAGCCAGTATACAATTTTTAAATATTTGCAGTGGTTTTTACATATGTTTACATAATAGATTTTAGGTACATTATATTTCTGAAAAAAATATATGAATTATGAGAGTGATATGATGTTTTCCCAAATAGTTTTTTCCGGGTATTTGAATTTGGATGGTTGTCCTGCAGCTCTTTCCCTACATAATGCCTGTAGGGTCTCTAAGTTAGTTTCATTTAATGCAGGATTATGACAACTTGAAAAAATTACATGTGCATATTCGAGAAGTGGACGACAGATCATTTTATATATTTTAGTTGCAGTTTTAATGTTGATTCCTCTTTTTTTAAATGTCAGACTCCGAAAGTCTTTTCCTCTATTGATGCATTTCTTTTTAATCATTTTTGTATGGCTGTTCAAGTTGATTTTGTGGTCAATGTTAAACCCCAAGTATTTTTCTGATTGCCTGCTTCCTACCATTTCGTTGTTGATGTTTATTGTTGGTAGCATCTATGAAGGGTTGTGATGAAAAATGATGAATTGTGATTTTTCTGGGTTTGGTCTCAATCTCCATTTATTGAACCAGAGCGTTGTCCTGCCGACGAGATTTTGCAGTTCCTCTATTGTGAGTGCTAAAGTGCGGTTGCGTGAAATTAAGGCAGTGTCATCTGCATACTGTAAGATGTAAGGGTTTTCATTAAATTCTATCTTGTCTTCCAAGTTGCGATTGTATATATCAGGGCAGTATGTATTATAGATAATTGGGGATAACGGAGAGCCTTGAGG